ATTATAATAAAGAACTCAGTGATGATAACTCTTATATATCCAATTATTTTGCCTTGAATTGGACATAGAGAGTTTTATATATCCAAATGTCCAATTCATGCAGTTTTTATATGTCTAATTTGTCCAATTATCATCTCTGGAAGAACTCATTTAATTAGCTAAATTATTTTTTGCTAATTAAAAATTGATTGATTTAGGTACTTAAAAAAACTCTAAGATTACTAAATCTAAAAAAAAATTATTAATTTTTTATAAATAAAATTATAATATATTAAATTTTTATTATTTAACTTATATAAATATTTAAAATAATAAATTTTTAAAAATTTACTATATTAATAAATACAAAAAATATTTTTTATTTACTAGTACTTATAAATAGTATCAATTATTATAAAATGCATCTAATATATATTTTTATTATGTTTTTTAAATTTTCTAAGTTTTTATAAGTTTTATTATAGAAATTTTTAACATAAATTTTTTTATTTTAGGATTAGTTTTTAAGTTAGTTTAGAGTTTGAGAAAGGTTTTCAGAAGTATAAAATATTTTTACTTAGAACACCTCGTACTGATTAATTAGCTAGTGTTTTTGAAATAATATATATATAGATGTAAAATATTATAGATACGTTTTAGTAAAATTTAATAGTATTGTATGTTTTGAATATTTAAAACCTTTTTTGTTATATACAAATATTCAAGTATCTAAGTTATTTATAACCTTAAATATTTTAATAATTATAATAAAAATTATATGATTATATTCTTTGTTTAATTCTGAAAATTTAAATAAATTATTTTATTAATAATAAAATTATTAGTAAATTTGATATTTTTTTTGTCTAAGTATCCAAATAATACTACTTATAAATTTCTTAACCTGACTCTCATTAAAAATATAAAAAAAATTCTACAAGTTAGCATAATTTTTTTTGTTAAATTTAATTATTAAGATTTTGTTATTTTTGTTTAAAGTTTCAAAAAAAATTTTCAATAAAAACAATTTGTTTGATTTTCTACTAAACATATTCATATATGTACCACAGATGAAAAAGTAAGTTAAAGTTATTGCTTAAAGTTCTGGCGTAACCAATAATCGAAGTTACAGTCATAATTACAGTAACCGGTACTGTCACAAATTATTAATAATTTGTGACATTAGAAGTTCCGTTTCAGTTAGTAAATAGTTAACATTTTTTCTTTATTTAGTATATGAATTTAATCCCTATATTTGTTTACAATTCATTATTGATGGGTAAATCGTGGGCGGATTATACTTATTAGGATACTGATTTAAGGGAAATATCTGGGTTTACTAGCACGTAACGTGTAGCACGTACGTGATAGCGATAGAGGCGGAAATTAATTTACCTTTTTGGAAAAATGAGATAATATGTTGACGTAATGGGCATGGGAAAGAATTATTTTAGCACGTAACGTGCCAACTAGCAACGTGCTGCACGTGTAGTATAATTGACTCAAATGTATAACGATAAATATTCTTGGCAAATGATTAATAAAAAAAAGTCTCCGATATCTTATATTAAAGTATCAAGAAGAGTTCAGATCCCTTATCATAAATAAAATAATGATTTATCTTTCTTTGATTCCTAACTATCATTAATATCCGAAACCCGATATTACATTCATCCCAGGTTACGATTAAAGCTAAATCGCACGCTCTTTATGGGCTGTACATCAAACAAACTGATTTATTAAGTTAAAAATCATGGGACTGCGACCTCTTACGCTAGAATTTTCATAGACAATAACTGATTTATTATACTTCTATACTATTTTCTAATTAAAAGTGACATATTTCATAAAGTTTGGTTTATATAGTTACTAGATTTTCTTATTACTTCTGTACTTTTTTTTTCTTAGTTTTTTTGTAGCGATTTTCTGACGACTTTAACGGAGTTAAAAAGAATTCATTATAATATAAAATAATGCATAAAAAAAGATATACTATAAAATCAATATATATATATATATATATATATATACTGTATAATTGTTTATTTTATAACATTTAAGCAAAGTAAATCATAAGTTTTGCTTGCTATATTTTGCTGACATAAAAAAAGAAAAAACTTATTAAGTCATAATCTCATCCAATGACAATTTAAAAAGCAAAGACCTATTAATATTGTAATTTATCTAATGCGATTTTAAAAAGATTTTTTTTTTTTTTTTTACCACATGTCAATATTAAGTAAAAAAATGCACGGGCTATTACATAATGTACGTACAATAAATACATGATAATGCATTTCAATAAGAATTATTGTCATAAATAGTTAAAAATTTTGAAGCCGGGATCTAGCGAATAATTTTGATATAATCTCTTCGAATAGTACTAAAATTATTCGAATCTAATCACTGGATTATGAGAAACTCGATCTCAAAAAAATTTAAAAAGGAGTAATTATTCATTATGTGATACGGTTACAGTTAATTCGTTATGGTAACCAAATTTTAACAATGTATTTCTAATAATGCTTACTTTTATTCATTCTGACTTGGGCACCCATACTTATGAAATTCCGATTTTAAATTTTGATCTAACTCAAATTTTTTTATTTTTCTAGCAACGACATATATTAAACATCAAAACCACATGAAGTTAATTCCCAATTACTATATAAAGATCACTGAAGTTTATTATTAGAAAATATTGTAATGACCCAACAGGTCTATTAAAATTGCTGGATGAATTATTTTTTATAGTATTTATACTGTATATATATATTTTTTATAGCTTTTTATATAGGTTAAATCGCGCAAAGCTTTTTAAAAGTCAGGTTGGAATTAAATTTAATTTTATGTAGGGAGAGTTAAGGTTTGTTAAATTTAGACTTCGTGGTACAGCGGTTTCTTTGTTGGTAATTGAAAGGGTTTATTTGTTGGTAAGTTAAGGTTAGTGTTGGATTAGGTTTTGTGACAGAGTGAGTTTCATTTTAGTTGATTTGTTTAGTTAGAATCAGAGTGAGCTTCATTTTAGTTGATTTGTTTAGTTAGAATCAGAGTATAGGTCAAATACTTATCAAATATTGAATCAAGGAAAAAAAATCATTAATGTATACAGCAATATGTAATCAATTATACAACATGCATGTGACTCACTAATCTGCTAATCTATATAGCTATTGAAAACGTAGAAAATTTTTAATTATAATATGAAAAGAGTGCATTACTTCACCGCAAACCGTGATCAAAAGCGGGTTTATTTTATTAGATTTATTTTATTTTTTTTTAATAACATGATAAAGTTATGATAAAATCTCAAGAGTTTAGGAAAGACAATTCATTTTCTTATCAATGAGTTCCACGTAGGAACCCAAACTTAATCAATGGTTCTAGAATCCTAAGAAGCGATTTATTCTGCTATCAAAAAAAAAGAAAAGAATTAATCTGCAATTAAACAATTTTTACAAATATTTAAAAGTGTAATTGCAAAATTATTATTATTATCATTAAACGATTATCATTAACATTATTTATTACCATATCAAAAAAAAAAAAATTATTATACAGTTATACAGAATAAACATCACATCGCGTAACGCGAAACTTGTTACACGATAAATCATCATAAGCCATTGTTGCTCCAATATGAACAAATTTAAAGTGACTGAGAAAGTTATTTAGTAAACGTATATTATTAACTGTTAAATATATTGAAGCGCGTTTGCATTCTTTTATGAATCGTATGAAAAAAAAAATTTTATCAATCATTTTATCTATAGTGCATTAAGTATAAAGCAGATTCGAGTTTGATAAATGATTTGATTAATCTTGATGCGATATTATGGGGAGTAAAAAAAAAAAAAAAAAAGGAAAAAAACGTAGATAAATTTAGTTAATCATTAGATAACATATATGACGTAGAGGCAGCATTATATATAATTTAACAACTTTCAAATTAGAAAAAATATTATTGATCGCGTGGTATAAGTCACATTTTCATCAAGACTTTGATCAAATCAAACGATGATTCTTTTCATTATCAGTACTGATACTGATTGATTTTAATATTATTTTAATTAAAACAAAAAAAACGGATTTGAAGTGATCATTTTCAACCCAGTTACCCAGCCAGACACGCGTGCTTAATGTAAACTCACATATTTCAGTTAAAACTCAGAATGATCTATATATTGATTGATTATAAATCACCAGGAAACTTTTTATATATGGTTTTACATTACATCATCTTATATCGGTTTTTACTCTTACTACACCATCATGGGCTATTGAATTCATATATAAATACAACCATGATACACTTAAATTTACTCGTAACTTCTTACCCATACGGTTTATATTTACTTCGTGGCTCTTTTTTCTGTCTTCGTTCGTGAAAAATCAAAGACTTCACGTACGAACGATAACGAGCGATAGAAAAATTTAGGGTAAACTTTGATTTCCTTGTTATCACTAGATTATCACGAATCAAACTATCACTCGAATACGTAAAAAAAAAAAAAAAAAGAAAGCTTTGATTTTTGATTACAATATTAACTGTTCTTTTATCACTTCTTGCTATCAAAACACTATCGCTTTACGTTTATCAGTTAGTTTGATGATAAAATTCTCTATTAGTAATATGTATTTGTGATATAAAAATTTCTTATCTATTTCATTTTATTTTATTTCATTTTATTTATTTCATTTTATTTTATCTCGTTTTTATTTTATCTCGTTTTTATTTTATCTCGTGTTATTTTATCTCGTTTCATTTCATTTCATTTCATTTATTCTATTTAATTTTATTTTACTCGCTCGTACGTACAGGTAAACATCTAAAAGCCGAAATTTTTATAAAATTCAGGGGTAAATATATAAACACGAATTATTATATGTAAATTATTATATAAGATTAGTACGTGAATTACAGTTTTTCATTATTTAATATTATATTAACTAATTATTAATAAAAAAATTTTTATCTCAAATAGTTTTAAAAGGTTTCATCTTTAGTTTATTTATTGGCAATGTCTGACAACGAAAGTCCTCGTTTACGAGAAAGTGATTCTTCAGATCATTCTCAAGATATGAAATTCGTCGCTAAAACTGAGGATTACACTCAATCAACCAACTTATTATCTCTTCACAACATTTGTAATATCATGCATTCGCAATCATCACCTTCATTATCACCACAATGGTTTGATCCTTCACCCATTCAACCTTCAACACCAAGTGAAAATTTAAAAGATCACAGAGATCCTCTAGATGACGCTCCTAAATTTAACGAACCATCTCCTACTGAAATGATCGATTCTACTGAGTATATGAGTTCTAAATCTCATCAAGATATTGTTCATGACAATGAAGTTCGTAATGAAATTATTCGTAGTAATGAAGGTCGCATAATTGGTATCCATGACCTTGCAGATTTAGCAATTAACCTTAATCCAAGGTCAATTGAGAATGATGTCCAATCCGATATAGGTTCTCGATATCCATCAACTTCTTATGTTACAAAATCTGTTTATACTCCTTTAATCAATTCTCAAGATCATAATAAAAAGGTTGAGATTGAAAATGCTCAATGTACAAATCCAATGTGCGCTCAATGTCATCATTCAAATTATTCTGGTGCTCATCAATATCCTTTTCCAATGCAATATTATATGGCATTAACAAATGGTAACATTTATCAACAATCTCCTTTCGTTCCTCCTACTGCCGTCTATGCTCCTTCGCAAACTATTCAATCTCAAATTTCTGCAAAGTGTGACCAACAAATTTCTTCAAATAATAATGTTCACTCAGTTAATAATAATAATAATAATAATAATAATAAAGATGAATGTAAAGAATGTACTGAAACCTCTCAGCCATCTCAACCTAAAAGAAGGCGACGTAGAAAAACAAAAGCTACTATAGGTTCTCCAATTATTAATGGTACCAATTCAAATAATCAAAATGTTGAACATAAAAGTAAAAATGGTGAAATTTATCGTTGTTCAAATTGTGGTGCCAGAGAAACTCCTGCATGGAGAAGAGATCTTCGAGGCGAAGCTTTACTTTGTAACGCTTGCGGGTTATAGTATGTTAAATTTTTATTCTAATTTTTTTTTAATGCTATATTTAAATAATTATTGTTTATATAATAATTTAATAACATAATTTTATTTATCTTATTATTATTATTATTATTATTTTATTTAAAAATATTTTTTATATAAATTTAGTTTGAAGGTTAAAGGATGTCATAGACCGACTGAAGTCGGTGTTGACGGTGAAATACGTTTAGTAAAAACCGAAAAATCTGGTATCGGTGAACCAAAATGTCAAAATTGTGGAACTCAAAATACTCCTTGTTGGAGGGGTCCCGAAGGAAGCAAACTTTGTAAGTCCACCAATTAATTTTTCGAAATTAAATATATAAAATTTTATTATTTCTAATCAAAATTATACAGGTAATCGTTGTGGTCTTTTCTTGAAACAACATGGATATCAACGTCCAGGTACTCCACATGAGAAAAAAGTTACTTCTGTAAGATTTAGTCCTTATTAATGTTCAGAAATTTTATTATTAATAATGTATGAAGATATAAACTATGAAATAATAATAAGATCTATAATAATAAGCAGCGAAATACTTTTTTTATTTTTTTTTTTTATTTATGCTACTCATTTTACTGAAAACCTAAATATACAACTCGATTTTCTGTATAATTATCTTGTACTTTCTTTTAGTTTATCTTTTAGGCAATATTTTGTAAAAAAAAATATGTGTAAAAAAAAAATTTTTTTTTATTTAAATATTTATATAACTTTCAGTTTTATCGCATGTCGTAAAAAAAAACTATATACTCTAACGCTAATAGCATACAAAAAAAAATCAAGTTTATGACGTCATTTTTTCTCCTAAGATTAACTGATAAAAATATTTTAAGATTTATAAAGTTTTAATACTCATGTTAATTAAAATTATCTGAATGAATAAAAAAAAAAAAATACAGTAATTTATTTTCAAATTTAATATTGCCACGTTCATTTCTAGTAAAAATATAAATTACTTCGACAAGATTGATAATTAAAGATACTTTTCATTCCAATACTTAGGCCACACAAAATTATATCATTGATTTTCATATCCTGCCCGCGTCAGTGAAGAGAGATTTGTAAATTTTTTTTTGTTTTTTTTTTTATAGTTAACCAATAGGCAAAAATACCATTCCTGATGGGATAGCAGATAGAGAAAAAAAACCTCCGATTTACGTACTGTACGTACTGTACCTTTCCTGATAGGGTTCTTGAAAGAATCTGAAGCTAATTTCTCATAAAGAATAATGTTCTTATTTGACTCTTAATTAATTTATAACGTTGATATCAATAATTTACTATAACATTGATCTTAAAATGATAAATAGGGATCTATCTAAATTTTATGCTAAAAAACTTTTATTATGCTCGAAAATAATTGTAGTCATTTTGTGTTTCTCGAATATTGGATCTTCAATTAGACAGTAATTATTGGGCATCAAATTTTTGCGCGCTATGGTTTATACTTCAATAGTAATATAGTTTTTAGGATTCTATCAGGAATGGTACATAATTACCTTTTTTTTTTTCTATCCCATCAGGAACACTACCGAAGATACATTAGGAATTGTATTTTGCGTCAGTAAAATAAACTGTCAGTAAAATATTCTGTCGGGAAAAGTGCATTCGGAAAAACTTTATGTCAGAGAAAGATCCTGTCTAAAATGTGGTATATAGAACTATCAGAAATATAATATGTCAGCAAAAGAAGTTTTTAGAAATATCTTGTCGATAAAATGTGCTGTAGGTAAAATGTCCTGTTGGCGATAAGTGTTGGGAAAATGAGATTGGGAGAACTAACTTTCGGGGAATTGAGCAATAAATATTTAATTTTGTGCGGCATTGCATTTTTTTTTTAATAAGCCTTAAAGAAGTTTTTTTTTTTTTTTTACTACTATTTTAAAAAAAATATTTCTTAAAAAAAAAAAAGCCGTCACGGATTATCATTCCGTGATATGAAAACCAATTCTATAATTTTGTGTGGTCTAACATACAAAATGAGTTTTTCGCATCGTATTTTCTTATGTTTTGAGATACACTTGAGTTTGACTCTGCCATTTGCATGATATTATATTTGTTATAAATAATTTCCCCTATAAATTTGCACTCGGAAAATTGTACTATATTGACTACGTGAACAGTGAATTCGACTAATACTTGGATTATTCTGGTTTCTTGAGGTAAGTATTCTATTCTAGTTGTTTTACGTTTCTAATACTCAATCCTATACTTTTCTTGTAACGATAATTCCAATCACGTGGCACGTGATCTTGGTTCCTACTTCCAATTTGACTTATCACGGGGACAAGACAATACGAGTTTGGTTTATGAATAAAAAGATTTTTAAACTACGGGAATTTAGGACACAACACTTCTACTTGAATTTCGAAGTATTGGAACTTTTACACACTAAACTTATTAGAGTCTTATTTGAACTCTGTCAAAGTTTTGAACTCGAAAGTTATACTTTCCAAAGTTATTATTTTATTGAGGGTAAAAGGTATCACTTTTATACTTTTCGCGATACTAGTAAATACAATTTGAATATAAGCGATTTATCCAATTTATGCCATAAGTGTCATTAATGCTATTTATACCATTAATCCAATATATCAAAATAAATTTGATAAATTGGATATATTTAATAAATTGAATACGTATATCGAATATATCATAGTTTTTTTTACTACGAATTTACAGGTAATGATCTACCTTAATGACTATGAATACGTTTTATTCTAAAAGTCTATATATTGGTATGAATTAAATGTAAAATAAAGTAATAATAAATATTAATAATAATCAAAAAAAAAAAAAAAATCTAGGTCAATGGCCAGAAGGTCACATTAGCCTTTTACAATTCTTCCCTATATCACCAAAAAAAAAAAAAATTTTAGTAGCTATATATCTATTTATGACCAATAATCGATATTAATTAATTTAAATAAATCGATATATATTACTAAATTAGTTATATATCAATCTAAAATAAAAATTAGCTAATGATTAAAAGTGATAAAAATCAGTTTCAATATAATTTGAAATTAAATTACTAATAAAAATTAATTATCTTGTTCAAAGACTATCTATATACAACAATATTACTATTTTCACATAAATTTTTCCTTAATCTAATCTGAGTTTATCTACTTTTTCTAGAAAAATATCAGTTTGAATGAATGCATCAATTAAATTATTAATTATGGCCTTCTTTGATTTATTTGCTTCTACAACTGAATTTAAAGTAGGTTGTCTAGTTTTATTTCAAGAAGTAAGCATCTTTGTTTTTAAATTCTTGTATATATATTGTAAGTAGGAACAGAATTTAAGTAGATACAGAATTTTTTAATTAAATTTCAAATTTAATAACTAGAATAGGTTAGAGTTAGGGTTAGAATTCGTGTTAGAGTTAGAGTAGAGAATATAGATTATATAGAGTAATTCTATAGCAAAATACTAAATTTATTAAGAGATTTCAAATTTACAGAAATTCTATTCCTATTTACAACATAAATATATATTGATATAAGCTATAATAGAGGCCTTAGCATTCCAAGATACTGAGCAAGAACAAAACTAACATATTAAAAGGCTAGAATCAACAATAAAATTATCTAGAAATTCTTGTATATGAGAATATGCAGTAACTTATTAGTAGGACATCTTATTGTTTTGAGCATATTAAAGAAAAAAAAAATCTTTTTCAAAAAAAAAAATTTTTCTCAAAAAATAAAAACTAACTTCAAAATTGTAGAATAACTACAAAAACTATTTATAACAAAAGAAAAAAAAATATTTGAAAAAAGTTAGCATTTAGCTTATAATAATTAATTTTAGTTATTACTATTCATAATTTTGGTTATAAGATTATGTAATATTATATTATATAAAATTTTATAAAATTATCAAAAATTTTTGTATTTCTGTTTGATACCAAATAACTAGTAAAAACAGATAGTTTGGTTACTAGAACCAAACTGACTTTATTTTTAATTAGCAATTAGATAACTATATCAAAAAAGATAATTAGATTTAATAAGTAGATATTCTAAAGCTTAAGTCATCTTTTCTACTACTAAGAAACAGGTTAATTATTATTTTAGAGAAAAGAGAAGTACTGTAATTATGAATTAATCTATAGGCTTCATGAAGATAACTCTACTATATCACTTAGTAGAGTATCAGAGAGTAGAATAATTAAGGAGAGTATAAGTTAGGTAGTAGGATTTATTTAATAAAGAGCTTAAGTTTTTATAAGCAAACTATTAAGAATTATCTTTTATTATGAGTAAACCTACTCTTATTATATATATTTATATATATATTTTTTTTTACTTAGATGATCTTGTCTATTATTTTATTAAGAATAAGCTATTTTAAGCTACAAGCAAAATGCTATACTAATTATAGCATACTACTTTTCTAAAACTATTCAGGACTTACTTAGCTACCTTTTAGCATTTAAGTGTAATCTACTATAATAATTATTTCTCTTATCTCTTAATATATCATGCAAACAAATTTGTTTGCAAAATCTAATTTTAATGTAATTGTTAAAAAATAAGATAGAAAAGGTCCTCTCAAAAGATATCTTATCTCATTTAGTTAGATTTTAATAATATTAAAGTATTAATTGTATAAATTATGTTATTGATAATTAATACTAATATGAACTTATGCTTATCATGTATTACTATGCTATATATTACATTGATCAAACTTAAAAAATAATTACAAATATAAATATTATAATTAATTATAAACTATTGATTAATTTAAATTGAATTCAGACTTGCTCTGAGTAAATATTTATTCTTTAGTTTGTTACAATGCAAAAAAAAACAAAAAAATATTTTAGTAATACAAATATATTGCAGTTGTATATATTTGATATATATATATTGCATGTATATATACATACATATATATGTTAAATATAAATATTGAATAAATATAATTTTTTTATATAAATTATTACTTAAAGTAAAAATTTAGTAATATTTTAAAGAGTTGAATATATTTAAAAAAAATTTTAAATATTAGTAACTTAATTATTTAATTTTATTTTATAAAAATTAGTTATTTTTAAAACATACTAAATTTTTATAAAATATAATTAGTGCTTATAATTTATAGTTAAAAATAACAATAAATCTTAATAAATATTATATTGAAATATTATATAAATTTTATAAAAAAAATTTTAAAACTATATATATATAACTTTTTACAAGCAAATTTGCTTGCACCTATCTAATATATTAAGAAATAAGAGTTTAAGTTTGTATATACAAACTTCTAGTTTCTAGTTAGTAAGAAGCTACTACTAGTCTATATCAAAATTATTTAATTTGTTTTAAACCTTAGCTATCCTTTTTTACTATCTGATCTTATTCACCTATCAACTCTACTTAAAACTTTTTTTTGTATTTTTGTATTTTTTTCTTTTTTTAATTCTTTTACTTCATT